AGATGGCCAGTGTATGGGGAGTCCCACATCTGTGTGATCTGTCCAAAGAGCCCTCCAGGGTTGCCATCAGCCTTCTTCCGATTCCCTTCCCACCTCTTTTGGCATGTGCCTTTTGTCCTTGTGCTCGTAAAGTGGCTAAAATGTACCTCTGCATATTACAAAAGGAAGATAAAAGACAAAGCATAAGAGATGCCAAACAAATAGAAATCTTCCCACATTTCAAACACTATCCTGAAATCCAATCCAGTAACTTCCATTTACATGGAATTGGCTAAAAATATGCCACTGGCCCCTGCAAAGTATAGAGAAGGCTGCACACACTGCCACCCTAAGAAAAAGCAGAAATACTGTGAGTAAAAGGAAAAATTAGCAAACTGCAGTGATTGCCTCTGCCAGCAGAAATGTACTTATTTGAAGGAGGAAATGCTCATTCACATAGTTTAAGATTGCCCTGTTGTAAAGTAGCTGTTACAGGCTGAATTGTTTTCTACCTAGATTCCTGTATTAACATTCTAACCCCCTAGTACATTCGTGGCAAATCTATGTCATGCTAATTGTGTTTTTCTTTTAAGACAAAATATGTTAATGTGTGAGTTGTTTTTTCTAAACTAAAACTTCAGTATTGGGGTTTAATTGCATTGCTGGGATAAATAAATGGGTTTTGGGTTGCAGTTTGACACTCAGTCTCTACAAGATTCGCTATGAGGACCCTCGTACCTCCCAATGTGACTATACTTGGAATGATGGCCTTTAAAGAGGTTATGTGTAAAGTGAGGTCATCTTTTTGTTGTCTGTGATTTTGTGAGTCCAACTTTTATTTTGTTTTCTAAAACACTATATAAGTCACTTCCAAGAAAAGGGTCACCTGGTATGTCATTAAACACTTCTTTCCAATTGGCACTGATTCATTAAACAATTTTTCCTTTCTTTTTAGATAGAGATTTAACTCTTTTCCAGTCTGTCAAAGTAAGCAGCAATCCATGTTATAGTTCAACTTGTTCACAAGAATGTCAGGAGACTTGGCCAAAATGTTATGTCTGCTGTAACATCTTTTCCCCGCAGAGTAAGTCTGTTAGAAAAGAAACTGCAGCTAGTTTGTTGCAATCTGTTCCTGATTAGCCTTCATATAGGGGGCCCTAATATGACCTGCCATATATCTTGTGCAAGGAGAAAAAACCATGTGAGGATACAGCCCAAGACAGCTGTCTGTAAGGCAAGCAGAGAGACTTCAGAAGAAACCATCTCTTTTGGCATCTTTTCCTTCGACTTGTGAAATCCAGAATTGTGCGGAAATGTGTTTCTTGAGGATAAGCTACATAGTCTGTAGTATTTGTTTTAGCAGACCTACTAAATGAACACAGCAGCAGAGCCAGGAATGGTCCACGGGTCCATTTATTAAATATTTAGCCATGCTTCTACAGTGTCTTTGGCAAAAGAAAGAAACAAACAAAAAACGCCCCGAGAATCCTTGTGTGTACTTACTTAAAAGTTTTGTGATGAAGATTAAAATGGATGCAAAAATGTACTCTGAGCTCATGTTCTCAAACATATATTTAGAACTTATTGTGCATAGTACATAGTGGGATATAAAGGTGAATCAGCCACAGCTTCTTTAGTTCTCAAGAAAAACTCTCAAGCATTTATGCTAATGCAAGTTATCATTAACAGAAATATTATAGCAGCCAGTGATTTCAATGTACTATGTACTGTTCTTTAAGGAACTCACTTGCCACTTGCCTTTGAATTTTCATTATGAATCTAAGCTATCTTCAGAAGAATTCTTAAATATGAAAACTTCTCTAATCTTGGGAATGTAGCTCAAGACAACCTCTTTCATAGGGAGCTTGCAGAAACAGTGGGAAGCATTCTGATGAATGGAGAGCATATTGTTATTCTAACCTCCCATTACAAACCAAGAAGGGGAAAACCCTTCAGGTCATTTCTGCATTAGATTTGTAAGACACAAAGGGATTCAGAACACCGCATTGACAACATGATGATCCCTCATTGTAATTTGTGTTACCTGTTTTTGTTTAACACAAGTATCTAGAAGATGCTTGAATCCTTTCATACTTATTTTGCGCATTTCTGAAAGAAACTCCTTGAACAGAATTAAGATTGAAGAGGTGTTATTGATCGAATAGATATTAATCTGACTGCAAGCTTCAGTCTACTTTTGATTTAGGTCTAAAAATTCAAAACTTGATCTTAATCAGACTTGACCCTACTCTAGTCTGCATGGCATTTTCTTCCTCAAGATGAGTGAGCTCTTACAAAAATACTCACCTCCATTTCTTTCTCCTTGGAGCCTCCAAGGCTCCTCTTAGATGCCTCTTCTCTGTGAAAACATCATCTTTTCCCTTCCCTCACTCTTCCAGATAATCTTTCCTTTCTTCTTCAGTATGATTGATAATAAGTATCCACATGACTGTTGAAAAGCTTGGGTTTTAAAATAAATTTTGAAGGCTATGGTTTTGTGTGCATGTTTAGGGTTGTTGCTGTTTTTTAAGGCATGATTGGTATTTATAAATTTGGGAACTGTAAATACACATGCAGTCAGTTCAGAGGCTTTCCTGCTGGCTGGGCTAATGTTCTGTGACTCAGGTACTACATTGTCTCCCATGCATAGTCTTATTTTGAAACGTGAAATTAACTTTCTGTGAGCTTAGAACAAGGTGAGGTAGTAGATAGAGGGTTCAGAGGCAGATGGGTGGAGACAGAGTGTTGGTAAGAAAAGAAAGACCGTTGTAAAATGGAAAAATGTGATATCTATGGACAATATCGAGGAAATGTATATATAAAATTATACCTATATAACTCCATGCAAATTTGAAGAAATACATGAACAGTGACCCAAAGGAAATATAACTTAAAGATTTGAGGTGAGAATTCTGGAGTCATTAAGTGTGGCTCATCAAACGCTAGCTGCATGCCCTTGGGCAGGTCTGGAGCCGCCTCAGCTTCAGGTCTCTCGTCTGTAAAGTGGGGTAACAGTAACATAATCCTTCATTCATGGAGTTGTGAGAGTTGCACGAGTGCCTAGACTAGGACCTACCACAAGGGAGTCCCTGAAATGAGGAGGTGCTGGCCAGGAGACTCTTGCTTTTTGCACTGGGCTGTGCCCTTCTGCTCTTAAAATTCTCCTGTTCCTTCATCTCTTTTTGATGATTTCCATCCTAATCTATTTTCATTTTATAGTTTTCTGTTTCTTTTACCTATTTGTATTTTTGAGGTATCTTACATGGGTGTTGAAAAGTTTCCTAACATTTCTTCCTGTATTTAATTAAAAATCTTTTCTTTTTGTGTTTCTTCTCTTTCCTCCACCCACCCTTCATTATAGTACTGGGGATTGAATCCAGGGTCTTCACACTGAACTACATTCCCAGTGTATTTTTTAAAATTTGAGACAGGTTTCAGCAACTTTCCTGGGGGCTGGGCTTGAATTTATAATGCTCCTGCCTCAGCCTCCCAGAGTACTAGAATTACAGAGGTGTACTACCACACCTAGCTTATGAAATCTTTTTACCACAGGTTATATGCTCTTTCTTTCCTACTTTCTTTTTCTTCCTTTCTTTTATATTCCCCTTATCCATTCTCAAACAAAGCAGTCATTCTCAGAAATTTTTCTGATAAGGGCCAAAATTAATAGTTAAGTGAAACAGATGGTTAAATTAGAAAATTATAAAATGTATATATTCATCTTAAGTCATTTTGTATTAACTTAAATCATATAAGTTTATCTTATGCAGTTATCTTTAATTCATACCTTAGGCTCTTTTCTGAGTTCTGCTGGTTTCGGTACTCATTTTTATCTTATATTAACCTTATCTATAACTAAGATTTCTACTTTCATTTCTTTAAAGTGAAATGTTATCTCAAAGATATTCATGAAACAGACAGTGCAGAATCTTTCTAAATTTTATGCTTTTTTTCTAGGCTTTCATGGTTCTCACATATACTTTGACAGGGGTTCTCCTAGTGAATGTCCAAAGCACTGGACTTAGGTTCTATAGAAGCAGCATCTCCATTTTTTGGGTCCATGTTTTATTGATTGATGTCACATTTAATTACATAATTAAAATGACAAGTACAATGTGTCAAAATAGGGGATTAACAACTGTAGTGACTCTTGTGATCATCAATCCAACAAGTAATGAAAGTGGGCAGAAGACACCAAGGGTGGCCTGTGAGCCAGGAATGTTCTGTTGTGTGGGCACTGGGCAGCGGGGTGACCTACAGATGGCATCAGTTAAGGAGTTGCAAACAAGGCAGTGGTTCTCAACTCCAGTGTGCATCAGAATGATCCGAATGGCTTGGTAAAACACAGATTTTAACAAGTTGTGATAAAGTCACAACTCAGAATTTCTGATATAATAAGATGGGGAGGCAGACAAAGAATTTATTTGGGCTCTCCGATAATGTTAATTCCCCTGGTCCGAGGAGAACATCTGACAACCACTGAGCCACAGCCAACTGTGACAGTGTGAATGGGAGCATGCTGACATGAGCGTGCAGGTGCAGAAAGCTGCACGTGGTTTCTCTATGTGTGTATCACCACGCTAGAGTGGATGTTTCTCTTATAATCACATGGGTTGTGTGTATTCTGTTACTCTTAGTGCTAGGTATTGGCATTGTCTTGAAATTTTTAAATCATGCATGGAAGGTGATGGAGGGAGGGAGAGAGAGAGAGATCTTGGAACCTTATTTGGAAGTTGTATGGGGATGCAATGAGGGCTTTTAAAGTCTTCATGGTTGTTGTCCTTTGGATTTCTGGAAAAGAATGAAAGTATTAGTTCCTTTTAATTTTGCATGCTGTTTTCATATCACAAGTCCTGCAGTCACTTCACAGGAAACAAATTTTTCTGTATGTCAGAAAACTTGTGTTTGGCAACAGCTTCCAGCTGCAAGGTGGAAAGGCAGCAGTGTGGGTGTGTTGTCAGCACGCTGAAAACTTTGAGAATGAAACAGAATCTCTGATTGCTCTGTAATCTCCCTTTTAGAACTGGCTGACGGAGCTAGAGATCTTCGCTATTATCTTCTCAGCTGCCATCCATGACTATGAACACACCGGAACCACCAACAATTTCCACATTCAGACTCGGTGAGGATGCTGAACTCTTTGGAGAAGAAACAAGAGGGGACAAGGATAGAGTCTTAGAAGTCAGAGAAGTGTTCCTCACCTTTCATTTACATGATTGCTCTAGTTTATGGTTCTGAAGAGATGAACATAAAAGATGGGGCTGGTCATCTTCCATCAGCCTAGGGTTTAAGAAGCCATCTGCTCTTTGTTTTTTTTTTTTTTTGATACCGGGGATTGAACTCGGGTCCTTAGAAGCCATCTGCTCTTAATTCTCATACTTTATGGAAATCTAAGGAGGTCATTCTTTTCTTCTGTAGTGTAATGCTTGCTCTGTTTATTTGTGTGTTCTGTGCATACTCTATTCCTAGTACGTATTGAGGCAGTTTGCTTAGAGGCCCAGATGTGCTCTAAACTAAAAGAACAATGGATGCCTGGAGTGTTTCAGTTGGCATAATCCACCACCCAGCCTTTTTACCCTTTGATCTCAGGGTTTCTGACGGGAAGCTGTGCTCGCTCTGATTTCACCTCTGCTCATTTCAGTGCCTGCCCTTATTCCTGGCATAGGACTGGTCAAGTCCTGTCTCACATAGGACACTGGCCCCATGGGCAATCTCTGCATCTTTCCTGATGCCCTGCGGAGGTAGACATAGAGTTCTGTTGGGGATATTAAGTAGGGTTCTAAGTGCCCCATCCTGAGCCTGCTAGTCTGTAACTGACATCACTAGTTGATTGTGGTATCTTTCCTTCCCAAGCTGTGCATTTACCCTTAATGTTCCTCTCAGTGCAGAATTCTAGCCAAACTATGAGTCAATCATTTCTGCTTAGGGTGAAACCTTGTCTGTCTTCTCTTTGCCCAAGACCTTATAGTCTCTTAAGACAGTGACATGGAACTGGGGAGAATCTGACTGTAGAATTAATGGTGGAAAGGTGGTAATATAAAGACCAAGAATGTAAGAGGGCCCAGGGACTATTTGAATACCAAATTAGTGCTTACTGATTTCACTTGAAAAGGTAAGTGCATGCTCTGGATGGCTTTGTTTTCATTAAGTGAATGTACATATATTTAATGAACTAAACACTTGATTAGGAGGTACATGAAAGAACACAATATCATCTGATCTCTGTTCAGCAGAATTCCAATGGAAAACAAGTAGACAAAAGGATTTAAGCTTAGTTTCTGCCTCCTGCCTCCCCACCTACAATGATCTCAGCTGCTGGGAAGCAGCCTGTTGTGTCTGTAAATGCAGGAAGCTCCGTAGATCAGTTCTGCTTAGAGTGTGTCTGTGGGTGGATCCTTTGCTCTGAGAACCTAGACTGCAGTGAATACCACCTGCAGAAGATAGAGAGGTAGAAGAAGCCACTGTGTGAGGATTTTTCCTTATGGACCAGCATCAAAGTCAGTCCCAACTCAGAGGTAAAAAGTAGCTAAGTGTCACAAAATACATATCCCTTTAGTATCTATATAGCCCTTGGTACCTGTCTTAGCTAACTTTTCTGTCATTGCTGAGACAAAATACCTGACACCCAAAGTTAAAGGGGAAAAGATTTATTTAGCTCATAGTTCATAGAGGTTTTAGTCCATAATCAGCTGGCTACTAAGTAGGGTTGCATGGCAGACAGGACTTCCAGAGAAGAAACAGTTCATGGCAGCCAGAAGGTAGCAAAAGCAACAAGAGACCTTAATAGCTTCTCCCTCTCCCTTTTATCTGATTCAGACTACCTAGGGTGGGTAGTTCTCACAACCTTAATCCTAATGCCCTTGGGCCTACTCCCACACACTCTACATTCAGCCATCTCCAGAATAGCCTACGACCACATGAGGCTTTGCAGGGACATCAATGCAAAAACCGAAACAGTGCCTTATGCAATAGATGTAAAGGCAGGTCTTTTAAACCTAGACATTTGCATACTTGGTTTTATCTCTGTACAAAAGGGAAATTCCAATGGGTTCCATTAACTTTGCTTTGGGATGAAAGTTAAACATTTGCCCTCTTCAACAGAGCTTTCTCTAATATACTTGAGGGTCCTTCTTCAGAAAACTAAGTCTGTAACTAAGTCCCTTATTCTTTGATGGGCAAAATGTTAAGCGCAATACTTTCAGGGTATGCTAGATACATCCTGAAAGTTGACCATGATAGGTAGAAGTTATTTTGGGGAACACCCACCCTCCTAAGACCTTGCCTCCTGTCTTACCACCGTGGGGCTCGAAGAACCCACTGTATATAGTATGATAAAAAATATGGTGACTATTAAAAATTTTAAAGACTGATTACAGTAAAAGACTTATAACCATTAATTCCCCTCAAAATACCCTCCCTTGCTTCAAATACACTTAACCTATTATTCTTGCCATTTTCTGAAGCAGTTCTGGAAATCCTCTTTCTTCATTGTCTTTAGTCTTAATGTCCTGGCTGCCTTGATGTCCTAAGTCAATTTCAAAAGGTTTGCTTTGCATGGTCATTTTTACTTTGAGGAAGAGCCAGAAGTTGCATGGTGCCAGATCTGGAAATAAGGTGGATGAGGACAGACTGTAATAGTTGTATGAGCTTACCTTTCCGTTGGATGACACTTGTCATCAGCTACACTGTATTATTTTATCACACGTGCTATACTCATGAAGGGACGGAAATTCTGAGTTCCGCCATATGTTTCAGTCATACCACATAGCTCTGGATTCAGCTTCCTTGATAAGAAAAATTAGCTCTGAGAGTTATTATTTAAGTTATTATTAAGTTAGAAATATTAAAAATAATATACAGCTGTGTTTGGTGACATTCAGTTATAGAATGATCTTTGAGAAAATCTCTTAAGAACTAGCATATAATTTTTATATTCCTGATTCTCAGTTATTCACATGTGACTTTTGCATGTACAAATTTTAAATCAAGCTACTAACAGAGGCAGTTTGCAGATAGTACTCATCTTTGTGTTCAGAGAGATACAATTAAAATAAATAAACTGAATTGAGTTCACTGAATTAAATAAAAAAGAATTTGAGGGTTTTCCATAAAATAAAAGGAAACGACATAATCCATGGGTTTTTAAAAACTACCTTTGCCACTTAATACAAGTTTTCAGATTTAGCATAAAATGGTCTTCAGATACCTCTCAGGCTGGATCTCACATATTTCACACCAATATATTGATAGTAAAATATCCTACGTGCATCTGTTGATAATTCATAGTGTTAAAGTTTTTATTGCTACAACTGGTATGAGGATAAAGCTAATTTCTAAACATTAGAAAAAGTACTAGTATTTTTTTCACAGAATTATTAAAAGCTGTATTTACAATTGGTACTTTGTAGCCTGTGAGAGTTACTGGAAGAAATTTCAAATATTTAATGTCCTGGATGATTTTGTGTTTTCTGTCCAGGTCTGACCCAGCTATTCTGTACAACGATAGATCTGTCCTAGAAAATCACCATTTGAGTGCAGCCTATCGCCTTCTGCAAGAGGATGAGGAGATGAATATTTTGATCAACCTCTCAAAGGATGATTGGAGGTAAGAATGAAATGAGATTAGGAAGAACCATGAAAATAGGTGATTTGCTACCTTTGAAGAAATAATATCCTATTTAAAATGTTTATAGTTGTTTCTCTCTTTTTGTCTCTCCCTCTGTGATGTTCCCATTTATCTGTTTTTTTTTTGTCCCAAATGTTCAAATGCTTGTAAATGAAGGCTAAGAATATTATGCAGCCATTTTTGCCATCTTTATATTGTTCATAAGAATTGGAAAGTGGAACACATTTGTGTCAAAGAACTCAATATTGTACTAAAACTTCTTGAGGAAGAAAATTTGAAGATCCTCTTCTAGTACTGTCCAATCTTATTTTCTAGCCTGTGAGACTTAGAGTGCTGCTTTCAACTGAACTTCTTAAATCTGAATTTTATCATCTGACATTTATGAAAAATACCTTATATTTGCTTTGGACATCTTACTAGCATTTTAAATTTTTCTAAGGAAATTATTTTTAAACTTAAAAAAATAGCAGGTACTTAATTCTGTTTATGAAATGGTATGTTTGACTCTGGATTTAGACACATCTGGGTTCGAATACAAACCAAATCACTTACTATGTGACAGTGGAGAAGTTTTTCAACTATTCAACCTCCTTATATGTTTTTAATGTTTAAGTACTAGAAAATAGATAATAACATTTATTCTACAAGATGGCTAAGATTCTAATTAATGGCATAATCCATTTAAAATGCTTAACACACACATAAAACACACAGAGGAAGACTGCAGATCATTGTAGCTATCTATAAACATGGCTTAATGTTCATACACAAAATCATCTAAATCATTAAGAAGTTCTAAATCTACTGGGACTTTAATAATACTTATGTTTTAATTAAATGATAGAAACTCAGCAGACCAAAAACTGACAAATTTAAGGCAAGCACACCTACACATAGATTGCAGTTAAACCGCTAATAGTCAAAGATAAAATTAAAAGAATATGACACATTACATTTAGGGAAACAATTTGAATGACTGTGTACTTTTCAGCGATTAACTGTGGAGACAAGAGAATGGAATAACTTCTTAAAGTACTAAAAGAGAAAAACAAGAACAATGTCAACACAGACAGTTCTACCTTATGGGGATATTCTTCAAGAATGAAGGTGAAATAAAATTATTTTCAGATAATAAAAAACAACAGGAATTTATCCTCAAAACAAGTACATCATATGACTTACTAAAGAAAGTTCTTCAGGTAGAAGGGAAATTATTCTAGAGCAAAACTAGACATATAGGCAAGAATAAAATAGCAAAATATGGGGTGGGGATTTAGCTCAGTGGTTCCACTGCCTGCCTCTCAAGCACAAGGTTCTGAGTTTGATTTCTCAGTACCCCCAAAAAAACAAAACCAAAACCTGCAAACAAACAAAAAAATGGGTAAATGCAAAGAGACAGCTTTCCTTAACATATTTGAATTAAAGGCAGATGACCATTTAGATAAAAACACTACATCATCTCATATGTCTTATGATTTAAAAAGTGCAATATCCCACTATTCAAAAAAGACTGTAACGTAAGGATTGGCTGCTGATGTTAAATGAACTTATACTGTTGTAAGATTTTTTTACATTTTACATGAGCAGATGCAGTATTAGCTCTAAGTAGACTGAAAGCTAAAGATATATCACTAAAAAATTAACAGTACTAGCTAAAAATGGGAGAATTAATTAAGTAAATTAAAATAAATTTAAAAATTCACTAATATCCCCCCAAAAGCCAGAGGATATGTTATAGAGGGGAAAAAAGCAGACAGGCCAAACAGAAAACAGCATACTAGACCTAAATCCAACATATCAATAATTACATTAAAAGACTAAGCATTCTAATTAAATGGCAAATTCAGAATGGATAAAAAAGGAAGCTGTACTGCATTCTGGCTTTAAAGAATGTAATTCACATATGAAGACACAAATTCAAACTAAAGAGATATAAAATATAGCAAAAACTAAATATAGTAAGACTAGAGTGGTGGTACTTAGATAGAATGAACTGCCAAAAATGGTATTGCCAAGAATAAAGAATGTTTTCTGACAATAAAAATTATCAGGAAAGCTATGACAAACATAATAAGCATTCTCTAATTATAGATCTTAAAAGTATAAGAATGACCAGGAAGGGCTGGGGTTCAGTGGTTCCACTGCCTGCCTTGTAAGCACAAGGATCTGAGTTTGATCCCTGGTACCAAAAACAAAACAAACAAACAAAAATAAAACAAAGAATGACCAGGAAAAAGGTAGAGGTATATTTTCACAATCTTAGTAGATTTCAGCATTCCTGCCTGAGTAATTAATTTTAAAAGGACAAAAATATCAGTAAGGACATAAGAGAAATTAGTATCAAATTTAAAATGTATTGCATAAGCGCAGTAGCAGGATGGTGAAGAGAGGAAGAGTCAGTATATTTGAAGTATATTTTTTAAAATTTGAAGTATATTAGAGATAATCTAATTTGAAGAAGTTAAGAGAAAAAAATTTTAAATGAGCAGTGCTTTAGGGATTTGTGGGAAGTTTCATATAATCAAGCATAAGGACGACCACAAGAATTAGGAGAGGAAAGAGAGACTATCAACATGTGACCCTAACTGATGTTTACTAGACAACATCTACAGTGTACACATGATCTTCCAGTGTTTTTAGATGAGATTAACATAGTAGAAATGAATAGAGTCTGTAAAGCAGGTTCCCCTTTTAAATATGGTGAGTCTTAGCTAATCAGTTGATGGCCAGAAAAACTAAAGAGGCCATCCTTTCCCCAAATAAGATAGAATTCTTTCTGCCTTTGAACTAAAATATTGGCTCTTCTTGGGCCTCGATTTAGCTGGTCTTTGTACTGAAAGTACATCATTGTCTTTCCCTGTGTCCCAGCTTGCTCATTCCAAGATGTCACTCTCCACAATCATGCAAGCCAGTTTTTTATAAAAAGATCAGTGTTTATTAGGGGGAGCAAGAGATGAATAGGTGTTGCATGGAGAATTTTGAGATGCTGAATTCATTCTGTACTGTAATGTACTGTAATGAAATTATATATTGCACTAGGCATTTGTCAAAACCTGTAGAACTATGTATCTAATAAGTGAACCCTAATGTAAACTGTGTTATAGTGATGTCATATATCAATATTGCCTCATCAATAGGAACAAATACACCATATTGATGCAAAATGTTAATACTTAGGAAAACCCTGCAGATTTTTTGTAAATGCTCAAATTTTCCATAAATTTTCTTTTTTAAAAATCTACTTTTAAATTGGTGAAATATTTATACCCAAAGTGTAGTATCAGTCTAGCTTTTAGGGTTATTTTCAAGTTAACTTTGTCTTAAAACTGAATCCAGTTGAGAAGGGAGGACTTTAATACAATTTTCAGCTTCATTGGGATTTTTCCTGTGAGTTAACTTTCTAAATGACCTATGTATTCCACGTATAATATTTCTAGTAAATGATTTCCTCAATCTTTCACCCTCATTTATTCTTCATAAAAATCCCTTATCGGGCTGGGGATGTAGCTCAGTGGTGCTGCCTGCCATGTAAGCGCAAGGTCCTAAGTTTGATCTCTGATGCTAAAAAAAAAAAATAGCCCTTGTGAAAGACTCAAATTAGATTAGAAATGTCAGCCACAATTAACCAGTTTTTATTAGAAGTGGCAAAAAAATAAAATAATTTTTCTTTTTCTTCTTTTTTTTTTTACTTCCATCCCTTTTTTTGGGTGTTCCTGAAAGGGAGTTTCGAACCTTGGTAATTGAGATGGTGATGGCCACAGATATGTCTTGTCATTTCCAACAAATCAAAGCAATGAAGACTGCCCTGCAGCAGCCGGAAGCGTAAGTGGGCCTGTGACATAATGGACTTCTGTGGGTGTTTGAACTGGCACTTGTCCATGTTGTACTTTTACAGCACATCTCCTTCAACACCGTTTTATTCAGCGGTCTCATAAAGTAGTGATGTTTGGAGGAAAGAACACAGAAATTATACATACTTCACATCTAGGTGTGTTCTCATCAGAGCTGAAGTAAATAAAGAATAGAGCTGCTAATAGTTTGCCACAGTTAGAACTTAAGCTATTTCCCTTTGGGAAATTATCAAAGATCTCTCTATTGCAGAAGCACAAATATATCTCTGACTCCTGGGTATTTGTTATCTTCTTGAATGATGTAGTCATTCCATAAAAGGCCTCGAATCAGAAGTGTCCAGGTCATAAACAGGGAGACCAAAGCCATGAACACCACAGTAGCAGAATGAAATAATGCTCTGCCTCTATTTGACAAAATGAGATTGGACTTGAGATGGGGAGGTGGAAGGGGTTCAAAAGTCTGCTGATGTGTAAAACTCTTAAGGTAGTTCTGAGGAATGTGTTCATCATGTGTCTGGGTGACTTGGGTTTACAGGATTGAAAAGCCCAAAGCCTTATCCCTGATGCTGCACACAGCAGACATCAGCCATCCTGCGAAGGCCTGGGACCTGCACCACCGCTGGACAATGTCCCTCCTGGAAGAATTCTTCAGACAGGTACCTTGTTTCTTTGCTCTTTGTCAGGGCCACTGTTATCAGATGTATCAGAAATTTCATGGGCCAGGGATTTAGCTCAGTGGTTCGGTTGCCTGCCTTGCAAGCACAAGGACCCGAGATCAATCCCC